CAAATTCGGATGTGCAAGGAGGACGTTCCGAAAACAGCTTTCCGGACTCACGAGGGTCACTACGAATTTTTGGTGATGCCTTTTGGTTTGACCAATGCCCCGGACACTTTCCAATCTTTGATGAATGAGGTATTGAAGCCTTTCTTGCGGAAGCTTGTCTTAGTTTTTTTTTATGACATTTTGGTCTATAGTAAGACTTTTGAGGAACATGTCACTCATTTGGACAAGGTTTTTTCTGCATTAGAGACCAACCATTTATATGTAAATCAGAAAAAATGCATTTTCGCTAGTAGTCAGTTGGAATATTTAGGCCATATTGTGTCAGGGGAGGGTGTTTTAGCGGATGCTAGTAAAATTCACGCGATGTTGGAATGGCCAACTCCTCGTTCTTTGAAGGAGTTGCGAGGTTTTCTTGGTTTGACCGGTTACTACCAGCGCTTTGTGGCTGGGTATGGCCATCTTGCTTGGCCGTTGACACAACAATTGAAGAAAGACAATTTTCATTGGTTAACGGAAGCGGAAACCGCTTTTCAGGAATTGAAACACGCCATGACTACGGTCCTGGTTCTCTCCCTACCGGATTTTTCCCAACCCTTCGTAGTTGAATCCGATGCTTCGGGGTTTGGAATTGGCGCTGTTTGATGCAACAGCAGCGGCCAATTGCCTATTTCAGTCAGGTGTTGTCGTCTAAGGCTCGTACAAAATCGGTGTATGAGCGCGAGTTGATGGCAATGGTCCTTGCCATACAAAAATGGCGTCATTATTTACTTGGGCGCCATTTCATTGTTCGTACGGGCCAGAGAAGCCTTAAGTTTTTACTGGAGCAGCGATTAGTCAGCGAGAATCACCAAAAGTGGTTGTGCAAATTATTGGGCTATGATTTTGAGATCCAGTACAAACCCGGTTCTAAGAACCGAGTGGCTGATGCTTTGTCCAGGCAGCCCACGGGGTTAGAATTGTTGCATCTTACCACTTCTGCGCTCTATGATGGGGCTGGAATTTGCCAACAAATTCAGCAGACCCGAGATTGTCGTCGATTAGGGCTGCCCTGTGTGCTAATTCCGCTACTGTGAAGGGCTTTTCATTATGCAATGGCATGTTACTCTACAAGGGCCGTGTAGCTGTGCCCCGGCAGTCTTCTCTCATTCCGACCCTTTTGGAAGAGTTTCATGGTAGTAAGGTTGGCGGTCATTCTGGAGTCCTGAAAACATATAAACGGTTATCTTCGGAATTCTTTTGGTATGGCATGAAACAAGATGTGATCTCTTTCGTGGCGGCTTGTCCAGTTTGCCAGCAAAACAAGGTCTCCACTTTGTCTCCGGGGGGGTTATTGCAGCCGTTGCCTCTTCCGAATCAGGTATGGGATGATATTTCCATGGATTTTGTGGAGGGTCTTCCCAAATCGGAGGGTAATGATTCCATTTTGGTGATTGTTGACCGACTAAGTATGCTCACTTTTTGGGTCTTCGCCATCCTTTTTCTGCTAAGTCGGTGGCTGCTTTGTTTGTTCGAGAGGTGGTGCGGCTCCATGGTTTCCCTCGGACCATTGTGTCCGACCGTGACAAGGTATTTCTCAGCCATTTTTGGAATGAACTTTTTAAGTTGCAGGGTACTGCCTTACATCATAGTACGGCTTACCATCCTCAAACGGATGGCCAAACGGAGGTGGTGAATAGGTGCTTGGAGGCTTATTTACGCTGCTTTGTGTCTGGGAAACCTACTCATTGGTTTTCTCATCTTGCTTGGGCTGAATATTGGTATAACACTAGCTTCCATGTGGCTGCGGGAATGACTCCTTTCCGGGCTTTATATGGTTGTGATCCTCCCAAATTACTACGCTTTAAGTTTTTGAGTCGGGCTCAACAGCTAATTCTTTGTTGGAGCAGCAATTGCAATCGCGGGATGCTATTTTGGATGAGCTTCAAGCACATTTGTTGCAGGCCCAGCAATCTATGAAATGGCAAGCGGATCTCAAACGCCGGGATGTGTCCTTTGAAGTGGGGGATTTAGTGTTCCTAAAACTCCGGCCTTATCGTCATCGTTCGTTGGCCAAGTTCACCAATGAAAAGCTGTCTCCACGGTTTTATGGTCCCTATAAAGTGCTGGCGCAGGTGGGTTCGGTGGCATATAGGCTGCAACTACCTGAGGCTGCCAGGATTCACCCGGTTTTCCATGTTTCACAGCTTAAGAAAGCCATTGGCTTGGCTGTTCCAGCCCAGGAGGTTCCGCCAATTTTGACTGCTGACTTGGAGTTACGCGTGGAACCGGAGAGATTGTTAGCGACTCGTTTTTCTTCTGTTACTGGGCAGCTGGAAGTCCTGTTGCAGTGGCGCCACTTGCCAGATTTTGAGTCTTCTTGGGAGCTTTTCGATGTCATCAGGCACCAATTTCCTGAATTTCACCTTGAGGACAAGGTGACTTTTTTGGGGGGCGGA